AGTTTAAGGAAGTTCCAACGTTATGTAAAAACCTTAAGAAAATACTAAAGTATTTTCTTTGAATAGAAAATTCAGTACAAATCAGTACAAATTTTGAAAAATCAGGACATTAGCTTACTGATTGAAGAAATGAATAAAATCAGTACAAGAGTTGAAATATCAGTACTGTACTGATAAAATCAGTACGTCTGGCAACCGTACACACAAGCGAGAATCCGATCTGGACTCCTGCTCATCCTCCACCAAGCTGGGCAGGCTGGGAGCTGGCACGAGGTCATCCCGTTCTCGGAAGCTGCCGCAGTGACGGCGGTGAAACAAGACGGTTAACACCCACTCGGGCCAGGGCGAACATCCTGCGTAGTGACAACCGAGCTGGGACTGCGTCATCGGAGGTTGCCTCGACCTCAGAGACGAATCACCAACGTCCCCCAGCTAACACTAGCAGGCAACAGGATGCCACGAAGAAGGTGCAGGCCGGTAGTCGACCTGATCTTCATAAACCTGAAAGAGACAAGGGCTCCTGACGGGACAAAGAGAAGAGTCTCGTCCAGCAATCGCTTCAACGGAAGCAATCAGCACTAAAAGAGTGCATCATGCCAAAGGGCAACCCTATGCAGATGATCCAGCGAACGGAGCTTTGCTATTGGTATACTCCAGGAACACTGGTATACTGGGGGCCAAGTAAAACGACTGAATCAGTCAGGTGGGTTAATATATATTATATTTCCAGGGATATCGCTGCTGCTGTAGTCGAAGTGTCAACGGTAGGTGGTGCAGAAGAAGTCTTCATCGCATCAGCCTACTTTCCTGGTGACATCCCCACCATACCAGTAACGGAAGTCCAGCAGCTCGCCGAGTTTTTTCGACGCACGAACCGGCAATTTATTATAGGCCGCGATGCGAGTGCCCATCACGATCTGAGGGGCAGCACCAAAATAAATGAAAGGGGTGAGTGCCTCTTACGATTACCTTATGCAAAATAAAAAAGATATAAAACAGCCCATTTTACTGATATTTATCCTTATTTAAAATTTATATTTAGTTATACTTACTGCTACAGCACCGTTATTAGATAATGAGACTAATGCTTCAGGTAGACCATGAACTGTACTTTTATAATTTTTATGAGTGATTCATGTATAAGCAACTATTAATTCGTATCACGTCGGAACAAACTTCAAAGGATGGCTGTCTATGACAGGAGCAATGAGAACGTGTCCAACCGCGGCCGTAGGGTCCACATTTTGGTCCAAGCAGCAACTTCGAGGCATTTGCAAATGCAAAATTCTGACAGTCCTTTAAAAACAAAACACAACACAACGGTATTTTGAGCAAAATACCAAGTCTAGGATTCTGCTTTGGAAGGAAATTTTTGGTCAAAATTCCAGACCGAGATGCATATCTGGTCGAATGGTTTACCAGAACTATATCCGTGATATGTACACTGGTACACAGACGGATCAAAGATGAAGGGCAGAGCACAGTCGTTTCCATCGCAAATCTAGCTGGACGAAACGACGCAAATACTCTTTGATGGATTTTTACACCACTTCTTATCTAGTTTTCTGGGTTGCTGATTACGAATGTGAAGTCATTTACCAAAAAGTCAAAATGGCGGATCCAATATGGCGGACGAAAAATTTAGAGAATCGGTAGATTTCTTTGAAACTGGGTATCTGTGGGTTTCCTGGGTCGCTGATTGCGAATATTATTTATAAAGTAACTTACGAAATATTCACAACGGCAGACGAAAATTAAAAAAAAAAAATCGGTAGATTTCTATGAAACTGGGTATCAGGGGGTTTTCTGGGTCATTGAATATAAATCTAAAGTCATTTACTTAAAATTAAAAATGACCAACGTGGCAAACGAAATATTTCTTAAGCCTTCATATATGAAAATTGTTTGTTCAGAGATTATACTTATAATGATTACAAATTTGTTAAAAGTTTAATACAAAACTAGTCATCTAAATATTGTTTATGATTGTCTATTTGGTTTTTTTTTATTTTTTTTTCAGTTCACCATAACAATGACTTAATATTTTTTTAAATTATTTAATAGATCAGCTCATTCTTTACTAAAAATAGTCCAGATCATAACTATGCAACACCCACATACTGACAATTTTTAACTATTTATTTTATTATTATTTAATCTTAATTAGTTTTTCATAAAAATGTAATTTGTTCTTTTAAAAAAACCGTGTAAATCCAAGTTTCAAAATTTCAAACTGTGTGCAATATTTGAAAAAATACAACAAATTTTCCTAAAAATTTCGATGTTTTTAATTAGGTTTCTTAGAAAGATATTGAGTATGCAGTTTTGTTGCTCATTCAATTTTAGTAAAATAAAGTGTGTTAAGTAAAACGATCAGCTTACACCTTTGCGAACACGTTTATTCAGCAGAAAAATCCAGAAGAAAGAACAAAAGGTGAAAATAGATTTGACAATGTATGTATGTGAATGACAATAATAAAAAAAGGATTTGACAATGTATGTGAATAAGGTTACCAACCAACCAACATATCAAGTTCATACACCACAGGGTGTATCCGGTGGTTACAGACTAATTAATAGGGAGTCTTACACATCCTGCCTGGTCGAAGCTACAGCTTCGATATCATCAGGGTGTAGCAAAAGGCAAAGTTTTTGCACTGCCCGGCTGCACGGCCTATGCGCCGTATTCAACGTTACGTTACGCTCCAAGCCATCGCTGCCAACATGAACCTCCGTGATGCGCCCAAGTCTCCTCCAGTGGGTAGGGGGTAGGTTCTCATGCTTGACCAATACAATGTCACCAACTTGAACGTTTTCCGCCCGTTGTCGCCACTTGCTCCTAGTTTGCAGTGTTGACAAATACTCATCACTCCACCTGCGCCAGAACTTTTGATGAATGCGTCGAAGCCACTGCCAATGTTTCAAACGATTAACTGGAACTTCCCCCAGCTCCGGTTCTGGTATTGCCAGGAGCGGGGCTCCAATGAGAAAGTCCCCTGGGGTTAGAGCATATTTGTCCTCATGGTCATCATACAGCGGAATGAGTGGGCGCGAATTCAGGCACGCCTCAATGCGGGCCGCTAGAGTTTGCAACTGTGTATACCACATCGCCTGAGCACCAATAAGCCGCACCAGATGCCGTTTCGCGGATTTTACTGCCGCCTCCAACAGCCCACCTTGATGAGGGGCACTGGGTGTAATAAAATGCCAGCGAGTCCCTAGGTTCCCGAGGGATTGTTGATTTTGCTGATTCTGCCAGGCAGCCAGGTCTTCCTTCAAAAAAACGGTTAGCACCAACAAACGTTGTAGCACTCGTCAGTATACAGATCAAGGCAGGGACCACGCCTACTAATGAAGCGTGTGAATGCATCTATGAAGGCAATTGATGAGAGATCGTCTACCACCTCGATATGCACGGCCTTGGTTGCCATACAGACGAAAATTGCCAAATATGTTTTTACTGTGCAACGGGATCGCTTCGTCCCAATCCGAAGCGTGAAAGGACCACAGTAATCAACGCCAGATGCAATGAACGGCCGCGTACCTGTGACTCTTTGTCGGGGCAGTGAAGCCATTTGTTGAGTGAAGGTAATGCCACGATGCCTTCTACAAATAACACATTTATGTATTAAGCTTTTGACTGCTTGCCGTGCATGCAAAATCCAATATCTGTAACGGAGAGTCTGCAGCATTAACTGAGCACCGCCGTAAAGTGTTTCCATGTGAATTTGCTGTATAAGAAGTCCAACCAAATCGCTTACCTTCGGCAATATTATTGGGCGACGTTGCGTTTCTAACAATGCCGAATTTTTAATGCGGCCGCCGACTCTAACGATATCATAATCATCCAAATAGGGATTGAATGGTACCAATGGACTAGAGTTGGGCAGCGTTATTCTCTCACGTACACAGCTTATATCCCTTGAGAAAGCTGTGGATTGATCGATACGTATTAGCGCTTGTAAGGCAGCGTCCATCTCCGGGGTGGTCACTACACCTTGTCGGAGCGGCCGTTGCTTTGGTAACCAACGCCGAATTAAAGCTGTAGTTCGCACGAGTTTCTTCAGTGAGCTAAACCGTTGTGCTAGCTGGAGCGGTAGCGAAATAATAAAGGTAGATATTTGAACCTTCTCCTCACTTTGTTCAGTGGTGCGCTCATCGTCCCTTAATACCGGGTCTGGATAAAAAACCTCTGACGAGGTTAAACCACAGCTTGCGCAATCAGCCGGATTCTGTGTCGACCGTACGTAGTGCCAATGATCGATGGCGGTGAGTTCCTGTATTTGGCGGACCCAGTTAGCAACATAGGGTTTGAGGTTCGAGGGTTGCTTGCGCATCCAGCAGAGGGCAATTGTTGAGTCCGACCAGAGGTGGAAGGTGGAGTCTACTAAGTTTAACGCTACCCTAGCGTCGGAAATCGTTTTTGCCAATAAAAGTGCTGCACACAGTTCAAGTCTGGGTATTGTAGCACCCCTTAACGGTGCAACTTTAGTCCGTGCGGTGAGGAGAGATACGCGCGAAAGGCCATCAGCCTTAATGGTATGCGTATGTAACACTTCAGCGTAGGCCCTCTGACTGGCATCGTAAAATCCACAGAGTGTTGTATGTTCGGTTGCATTCATACCCAGCCATCGAGGTACACGTACGCTATTGAGTGTAGGAAGACTACGGCGAAATTTAATCCAAGCTTCATATAGGTCGCTGGGGAGGGGTTCATCCCAAGAAATACCCGCCGACCAAAGCGTCTGGATGAAAATTTTGCCGAAAATCACTACCGGTGCCAAAAACCCCGTTGGGTCGAATAGTTGGTCTACTTCGCTTAACACCTGTCGCTTAGTCAGCAGACCGCTATGTTGGTTTACCGCGATCTTAAAGAGCAAATAGACTGTAACTGGATACCAACGTAGACCCAGCACGGTTGCTATAGGGGCGTCGATGTCTCGCTCCGCAGGTAATGGGGAGTCCATGAAATGCTGAAGAACCATTGACTTGTTCGAATTCTACTTACGTAGTTTGAAGCACCCAGATGATAGGATCGTATCCACCGCATTCGCCAAAGTAATTGCTTCCTGAGTATCAGCACAGCTTGTGAGAAAATCGTTCACGTAAAATGAAGACAGTATGGTGTTACGTGCGGTTATGGCCTGATTATGATCACTCACCCGTTTGTAGTTGTCTATCGCGTACTGATTTAATGAGCGAACCGCGTTGTACGGGCTGCATGCCATTCCATATGCCACAGTTTTAAGACGATATACTCTTATGTCCTCGGCCGGTGCTTCTCGCCAAAGAATTCGTTGTAGATCTCGGTCTTCTGGAGCTACCAAAACTTGACGAAACATCTTTTCCACATCCGCCGTAAGAGCGACGGGGTATCTCCGAAAGCGAAGTATAATGTTAATCAAAGGGTCTTGAAGATTGGGTCCAACCAATTGTATTTCGTTAAGCGAGACGCCATTCGAAGTTCGCGCAGATGCGCTAAAAACGACGCGGAATTTCTCTGTCACCGCATGATGCGGAATGTAGTATGTACGGGAGTGATCACCTGGGTTATCCACGGGTTCCATGTGACCCACTTCGATGTACTCCCTCATGAACTCTATATATTTATCACGCATGTCTTTATCGACCGCCAGCCGGCGCTCCAAACAATGAAACTGTCGTACGGCATTATAATATGAGGGAGGCGTACCATGTAGCGGCCCTCCGGAGTACGCGTGTGTGTCTTCGAAAATATCAGCTCGCTCTCGTCATCAACAGTCTCAGCGCACGCAGGCTCCTCTTCCAGCTTCCAGAAAATACTCAAAATCGCATCTAAACGACTATCTTCCAAAATCTGGGCACGATATGCCTGCAAGCTAGGTGTGTCTTGGTTGGCTGCGGATGTTGGACCAAAGATGACGCAACCGAACCGCGTAAGTTGAGCATGAGGTTCGTTCTGCCCACCACGAATGATGTCTCCTTCCAAGATGAGACCCCAAAAATCGGCCCCTAATAATAGGTCGATGACGCCTGGTGTACCAAGATTTGGATCTGCCATGTGCAGACCAGCCAAGTGGTTATACCGTTTCACATCGATCTGCGCTGCCGGAATGACCGAGGTAATCGACGTGATAACTAATGCTTGAATTGCCATTGCGCAGTCAGAATGTATTGATTCAATCGTAATTTGTACCACACCCTTTGTGCGCGTACATGAGAAGGCGCCGCAGCTGCTGCAGTGTTTGGAGAATCACGGCAGAAAATTGTGTTGTGTTTGCGTCCGAACTTATGGCATCCACCTGAAGAGCATTGGTTGGACAAATTCCCTTGTCCCAGCGGCGTAGCCAGGGGGGGATATGGGGGGATAGATCCGCCCCCCCCCTTCGTCATTGAACTACAATTATTTACTTTTGAATTAATAACACAATACTATTTTATACGTCTGATTTAAAATTTTTTTTATTTCAGACGGATGGCAAATTATCTTTTAATGAATATATGAGTAGTCCAGTTGCAAACAGCGTTATGTGATTTTATAAAAGTAAACCATAAATTAAAAAAAAAACATCTACGACAACAAGTAACATCCGAACTGTATCTTTTTTTATTACCAGAAAATTTGGATAAATAAGAGCCTAATACCATTAAAAAAATTTAATTGCAGTATGGTAGATTTGCAAATTTTATACTTAAAAATTTAATATTGCAAGTTTTGAAACAGGAACTTTTACATAGCTAGCTTTTTTTAGCTTTTCGCATTCTCTCCTCTAGGAAGATTGGTTTGCTTCTTCTTTGCTTCTAGGCACCGAAACTACCACGTTTTCTTGCAGTTTTCTAAGTTCATACGAAGAGGAGACATTTGAAAGTGTCTAAATAAGTATTATAGCGACTTTTGCAAGAGTAGTTAACATTTCATGGTATTTTTTTCAGAATATAGAAAAATTTTTCACTCTGCTGTTAGTGGACATGAAACCCACCAAAAGTTAAAAATCTAAAACAAATTTACATAGCGCACTTTGCAAGTGGACTACTCAATTGTTGAATATGCTATCTCATTTGTCCCTTCTCTTTATACAATTAAGGAGCGGCTGAATAGTTTAACGATGTTAGCGGTACATAATGATGTGCCGATTACAATACAAGAAGTAATTGAAAAAATGTGTGTTAAGCAACGGAGATTAAAAATCGCTTTATAAGTAATAAGATTTTGTAGACTTGTACATAAATAAATGTAAATAGATACGCGTAAATATATAAATATGCAGATATATTCAAAGTGTAAAAAGTATATACTAACGAAACTTCTACCAAACAAAACTGGACTACACACTAATTAATTAAAATGGTGTAGTAATTTAATTTTTTAAATTTAAATAAAGCACGAATTCCCCGGGGAATAACCGAGTAGACAAAAAATATATAACGGTAGAAATGGCACATCCTTATTAATATTATAAATCCGAAAGTGAGTTTGTTTGTTTGCTACGCTTTCACGCTTTAACTACTCAACCGATCATCATGAAATGTTGTACATTGCTGTCATTTACCCCAACTTAAAATATAGGATAAATTTAATCTCGATTAGACAAGGGGGCGTGGCACCTCCCATGCAAACGGAATTTTTCATACTGCATTTCTCAGGAAATATTTTTGATAGATTTCTGAAACTTGGTATGGAGATATATAAAATTATTATCTACTCATAGATGAGGGCTGCCACCTTAAAAAAAAAAACCAATTCAACTTAAATTAAGGGAGTTATTTATTTGAAAATTCTATTAAAAAAATGCATGTCAAGAGGCTTACAAAACTGTAGTTTGAATATATTTTGAAAAGGGTTGCCACCTGTTTGAAAAGTCAAATTTGGATTAATTATACGCAAGATATCTGAAGTATTAAAATATGGTTGTCTAACGGAATATTGTTAATAAATCTTTATTTTGAAAGTTTTGAATAGATTTTAAGTTTTTCGAAAGGGTCGCCACCTTTTTAAAAATTAAATTCAATTATTTGTACAGTAAAAGGCGCGCAATGGTTGTGGCGGTTGACTTTTCGGTGGTGATTTGAGTTTAACCCCTGCAAAACTCAACCTTGGTGTCTCCGAATGAAGCTTTAACGCATAATAATACTGGCAAATCACATCCTTTAGGCCAATCGCAACACACAAGAGTTCGATATACTCAATGGTGCAACAGGTCGATTTAATCTGACATTCACGGCACCTTTTCTAACTTGGCGATTATTCATGACTCCAGCACCACCTGGCAGCCCTTTTTGGCAATAGTATTTCCTTTACCGTTACCAATACATATTATGAATATTAGCCAAAGTGTGTCATAAATAAGATTTTTAGTAATAACTTAACTCCAGCTCCAACTGGCGGGTGAAATTGTGAAAGTACACTATCCAAATATCCAGAGAGCCACTCAAAAGCACACAAAAAACTTTGTGAAAATCCGTCCGTGCATTCAGGAGGATTTCACTGAAAAACTCACCTACAGAAGAATTATAGAGCCATAGCCCATTTTTCTCCATAAGGTTGATTTCATATATCGCCGTACCAAGTTCCGGCATTCTACCATGAACACTTTCAGAGATATGTAGTACGAAAAATTCGGCTTGCATGGGAGGTGCCACGCCCCTTTTTCCAAGAGTATGCGATTGATATCACATATGTATCTCCATAGCAAGTTACAGTACTCTACCATGAACACTTGCAGAGATATGCAGTATGAAAAATTCAGTATGTATGGGAGATGCTCCGCTTCCTTTTCCAATAACCCCAATTTTTCTCCATGAGTATGCGTTTGATTTCATATATCTCCATACCAAGTTTGATCATGTAAGGGGTTTCCATATGTTTAAAATCTCAAATTGAGTTCAGGTGATAAGTTAATTGAAAAAGTAGGAAAAGTGAGAACTTTAAGAAAGTTTTAGTTTGAAAACATTTTAAAGATGGTTAAACAATTTTTAAACCTTCTGTATTTGAATTGAGTTTTCTTCAAATAAATTTTATTCAATGTAGCACGTCCAAATGACATACACTCAGCGAAGCGGGTGAGAGCGTTCTAGTACATAAATATATGAAAGAATGCCCACAGGCGACGCACTATGTATAGGCAAAACACGAGTTTTTTTTTCAAAATCGTAGATCTTCGCTTAGAAAAGAGATAATGGAATGCAGCTTTTAACCCTTTAATGCAGAGACTGTCATATATGAAACGCTTTTTAACCCTTTCAAGGCAGAGGAAAAAGGTTCTCAATATGCTTTTGAACGTGCCTTTTCTCATGTTGACGTAAATATTAATCGTAGAAAATTTTTCCATAGTAAAATAATAATAAAAATAAAAAAATAAAAAAAAATAAAATAAATAAAAATATTAAAAATAAAAATAAATAAAAAGTACGTTGAAAACATATTGAGAACCATTTTGCCTCTGCCTTGAAAGGGTTAAAAAGCGTTTCGTATATGACAGACTCTGCATTAAAGGGTTAAATGCTGCACTTTCGTAAAGATATCGACCAGTATAACCATATTTGTTATATATTTTTTTTTGTGAAAGCTGATAGTTTACGAGTTATTAGAGTTTAAAGGTAGCTTTTCTTTTTCCAATCTGGCCACTCGGGTACAGCATCCAATGTCCCAAGAATCGAGTCTTAAGATAAAATAAAGAGAAATCTTTCAGAAACAGTGCTAATGGTGTATTAAATATAGTGTTTTCTAGTGGAATGGGAGCCAAAATCCAAAATTAAAAAAAAAGTGACATTTTGAGCGGCATTTTGAGGGTTAAGTTATTGTTGTTGTAACTTCTCTATAGTTTTCCTATATTATATGATCATTTATCTTCACGATAATTTTCATTCCATTATCTCTTTTCTAAGCGAAGATCTACGATTTTGCAAAAAACTCGTGCTTTGCCTATAGTGCGACGCCTCTAGCCATTGTGTATCACAACTTTAAGTTATCGATGCAAATTTTTTTAATCCCCCCCCCTTCGCCAAATCCTGGCTACGCCACTGCCTTGTCCTAAACAATTACAGCACAGACCAATATAATATTTTTGGACAACGTATGATCTTGTGAGCACCCTGGCAGTATGGACACTTAGAATTCTCGGACGCTAAATTGCATTTAACAGCACGCGCTGATGACGATCGCCCTTGCTGACGTCCTACCCTTTGTTCAGAGCCGGGACGCACACGTACAAGCTCTGTGGAAAGACTGTGCGCTCTCTTCTCCAGAAATTTCAATAAATCTGTTAAGCTGCTTATCTCAGTCGGAGAACGGTGCATGCACCACTCACGCTGTGTTGCAGATGGAAGTTTCGAGAATATAATGGGTACTGTCAATGCGTCCCACTCAGTCACTGGCAATTTCATAATAGTCAATGCACGCAGGTACTCGCTCACTACATCGACGATATTCAGCAGCGTCTTTGCAGAGCCCTCCGACACTGGTGCGAGGTTGAGGAAGCGAGCGACATGTACTTCTGCTAACTGCTTGGGGTTATCATACCGCTCCTTTATTGCTCGCCATAATTCCTCGTAACCTCCCGAATACAGACCACCTACCAGAGGAACCGATGCTGATGGCACAGCTTGACGCAATTTACCGAGTTTATATGCTGGCGGTAAATCCCTGTTATGCAGTAACGTTTCAAGGGCGTCCTTAAAGGCCAACCAATTGTGCAGCGCTCCGTTAAAGGTTGGAATATTTAATGGCTCGAGTTTCAATAGGCGAATCTCCCTTACGCTGGATGACGGAGTCTCCAGGATTAACTTGCACTCTACGTAGACGCAGAAGATTTGCACATAACTCGTCATACATTTCTTCAGTGGAATGCCACCAAGATGCATGTACCTCAAGCTCATCGTCTTTGGCCGAGCGAATTAATGTTTCGTGATTCTGCCACATGCGGTCATAACGACCACTAGCGGACTTCAGCATTTGCTCAGTCTTCGCGGAGTCCAATTCACCTGTTCCTGCCTTTCAGACCTGATCCATAAGGCGAGAAATTGCTGAGGCGTGAAACTTCCTTAGATTTATTTCCGTCATTGTGCTGAAGCAATGTGATAATTGTGACGTAAACCGTGTGCGTCAGCAAATCTACAAATATCGATGCAATGCCCCACAATCCGATTACAATTGTGTCCTCTTTGGCATAAACCGTCAAAACAATTTGGGTTAACAATGTTCTAGTCCTCACAGGAGGCACCATAAATTATGTTTAGTAAAAAGATCAGCTTACACCTTTGCGAACACGTTTATTCAGAACAGCAGAAAAATCCAGAAGAAAGAACAAAAGGTGAAAATAGATTTGACAATGTATATATGTGAATGACAATAATAAAAGGATTTGACAATGTATGTGAATAAGGTTACCAACCAACCAACATATCAAGTTCATACACCACAGGGTGTATCCGGTGGTTACAGACTAATTAATAGGGAATCTTACATAAAGTGCAAGTTTGAAGTACCTAGGGCTTTTGGTTGATTTTTGCAATTTTTTTTTGTTGAAAGTGTTGCTTATATTCCCCATGTATATAGTTACCAAATCTTCACTACCAAAATCTTCACTTCTTCATTGAGAAAAAAATATACTGAATAAAACTGCTATATTTCATAAAAAATGCGTATATACTTACAGCCCGTTTCTGTGACTTAATAAATTCAATATTTTTATAATTTGTAAATTTTTTATTATTTATCAAGAACTCCCAGAGCTAGCACAGAAGTTTAAATCTATTTTCTTGGTAAATTATCAAGATTGGAAATGCTGTTGACAATTATAATAATTTTTTTTATTAGAAAATATTTTTCTTACAATTATTGGTTGTTGGTGTTTCCGACAGGGTAGGGGTATGATGTAATGTGGAGCGATTTTGCATCATCCCTTGTCAAATTTGGTTTGGAGACAAACCGGTTTCGACGTTGTGCCAATTTCAGTGTCATTTTTCGTTCGGAATGCGCCGATATTTGCGACTCACGAAATAATGGCACCGGCACACAAAAAAAGTTGCGGGTGCTTTTACTGTCCGTTTGACTCGTACAAAATTTCGAGTAAATTGCGAAAATTTAAAAATTTTTGCTATTTTTTCGCTTTTTCATAATTTAGTGTACGTGTCAAACGGACCTCATATTTGAATTCAGTGGATCGAAATACATGTCGGTAGGTGGGTCTAGTAAAAAGCACGCGACATTTTTTTTGTGCCGGAATAATCAAAAGGATTTATGGACCTTACCGAAAATTGCCAGATGGCCCCTATTAAAATGTGAGATAGTAGAACTCAAAATTTATAGCAAAAATTCGAAAGTTGTTTTAGAAGTGCAGCCCTTGGTGCTGCCACTGTAATTGAAATATTTCCAGTATTCGAATATGAGATAACTCTAATTTTATCGAAGTAATTTTGTAGAAGTGTCAGTAGTGCTGCCACTGAAAATCGAAGGGCTTTTATAATTACGCACATGCAAAACATAATTCATTTCTTTCTAGTAAAGCAAATTGATATTAAGTTGCAAAAGTTACCAAAATGAAATAAAAGTTACCAAGTTACCAAACCGTTTAAAAGTTACCACTTTTGATAGAAAGTTACCAATTGTGACAACCATGCTTGCACTTTAGTTTGATATATAGCTCAATTCTGTGGCTGCTACAGACCGGCCTAACTAAGTCGTACGACTGAGCAATTATATATAGATACTAAAGGCCTGAACTGAGGATGGTTCCGTGCGCAGAAGTGGAAAATTTTTGACTGCCATTCACCTGGGAGTGGCCAGAAGCGATTTATTTATTTATTTATTTATTTATTTATTTAAAGTAGTCTAACACAACAACCACAGGTTATATTTCAGTGTTAGATACTGAGAATATTACAATATAATACGATATTAAAATGTATAAAATTTTAACTTAACATCTAAAACTTATAAAATTATTCATAAAGTGTAAGATTGAAGAGAATAAAGAAAAATACAGTAATTTAGCGGTTAGAGTTGGGGTGACTGACGCGAGTTAAATAGTTACAAATTTTCATTTAGTCAGCATAGTGTCTAAGTAATGCTATTTTAAAGTGCAATGTGTCCTTAATAGCCCTGAGTTTAAGGGGTAATTTGTTCCATAGGCGAATAGTATAGACGAAAAACTGACGCTCAGATATGACAGAATTGAATTTCAGGTGCAAAAGCTGTTGTAATCGTGACGATTGAGTAATTTGAAGACGATTTTTGAGATGCGGATGCTCCTCTGAGAATAAGATTTTCTGAAGCATTGTAAGGCACTTGAGCTTCAGCATATCGTCGAGTGATATTGAAGTTATCTTGCGAGCCCATTGAGAAATGTGGTCATACCGTTTTTTGCAATATAACTATATACCTGGCGATGTTATTGTAAAGCACGTTGAGTTTTTTATTGCATTGACTATCGCTGTTAGCAACAGCGTTGGTAGCAAGTAAGATTTCGCGATTAACATTCTAGTGGGCATCGGCGTTAGGTGTTGTGTTGACCATAAATACCTTAGCATAGCATATACTCTACCAATTGTGCTATAGACATGATTATCCCACGTTAGTGTTCTGTTAAATAGTACGCCCAGGTTCTTAGCTACATCAACATATGGTATCACAGTTCTGTTCAACGAAACTGTATCATAAACGTTGAGGTCAAAATGTTTTTTAAAAATAGCAATACATTGGGATTTGTTAGGATTTAAGACCAAACCATTGTTACTTGCCCACTCGTGAACGAGGTCTAAATCACTATTGAGGTTCTGTATGCATAGGTTCAATGAGTGAAGTGGGCAGCTCAAATACAATTGCACATCATCAGCGTACATTTGAATTTTATTGTGCTTTAATACCTTCGGCAGATCGTTGATGTACAAAACAAACAGTAAGGGGCCGAGAATCGACCCTTGAGGAACTCCTTTAGATATGGAAAGAGAACTTGACATTGCATTGCCTATGTTGACTGCTTGCGATCGGCCGAAAAGATATGAACTAATTAGGTTTACAGCCGAAGATGAGAACTGAAATAAATTCTTTAATTTGAGACACAGTAGTTTGTGATTTACTGTATCAAAAGCTTTGGAGTGGTCAAGAAGAGTAAGCAAGGTTAGGCGATTATTGTCCATATTTATTCTAATGTCATCTGAAACGGTAAGAAGCGAAAGGGTACAGCTTTTCTTATGCCTGAAGCCAGATTGGTAAGCGCTGACCAGGGAATTTTTAGATATAAACGAGTCAATCTGCTGATGCATTATGCGTTCTAAGACTTTAGATAGATATGGGAGAATCACAATAGGTCTATAGTCACCATTTGATTTCAGAATGGGTATTATTTTGGCTTTTTTCCAGCAGTTGGGGAAGACAGCTGATGTAAGAATGTTATTTATTGCGTAGGTAATATATGGAAGAAGTTTCGGGAGCAAACATTTGAAAAACTTCGGATGAATGTCATCCAAACCAGCGGCGTTGGATTTTATAGACAGTACTGACTGGACAACGTCACACTCATCAACACAATTAAAGCTGAAGTTTGACAGCGACCTATACGGATTACAGTTATAGCGCTCATATGCAATATTTTCAAAAGTATTCGAGGAGTCAAGGAACTGCTTATTTAAATCATTTACATTTACAGAATCAAGGACTTGTGCCTTTTCTTTTCCAATCCCTATTTCGCGAATTCGCTGCCATTTTTGCTTTGACCCAATTGCTGCACTGAATCTTTGGTCGTAATACATAATTTTTTGGGTTTTTATTGCTTTAATTGTCTCTGTTCGAAGAGTTTTAAAGTCGCTGTAAAGGACATCTGTCCTATGGCGCTTCCACTTTCGGTATGCTCGATCTCGTTTTGAAATTAACGTTTTTATATGGCTATTAAACCAAGGACGGCATTTATCCGAAATAGTTTTCGTAACAAGCGGCACAAATTGATTAAAAAGGCTTTTAATATTAGCTTGAATAAAGTCAATTTGGTCATTTACTGAAACCATTGTGTATATGCTTGTCAACTCGAAATCAAAAATGAGGTAAATAAGATCGTGCTTAGAAAAGCTTGAAAGATCGAGTTGATCATATAAAAGTACTTTGTTCTTATTATTTACAAAAAAGACATCAAGTAGCGAGCTATTGGTATTTGTAAAATGAGTGGGAATCGATCAGTTCACGGAAAACAACCCCAAATTCCTCATTGCCAATGCGAAAGTGTCATCGCTGAGTAGATCAGAATTAAAATCACCGGCTATTACGATATTGTTAAAAGACAAGGTAAGTTCTTCCAAATAATCAACAAAGTCAACAAAATTAATGTATTTATTTGGCCTGTAAACACAACCTAAGAGGATTTTATTTGATTTTGTTGTTATTTGTAAGAATATATACTCGATGGGGTTGCTACCCTCTGATTTACAATGAAGCTTGCATGAAATACTAGATTTTACAAACATGGCAACCCCACCACCGCGCTCAACTCTATCTGACCTAAATAACACATATCCATTAACAGAAACCGACTCATTATTGTGCCAATAGGAAAACCATGTCTCAGAAACGCATATAATATCAACGCCCGAATGTTCAAAAAGGTACCTGAATTCGTCAATTTTTTTGGGCAAACTTTGAGCATTAATATGGCATATTTTCAGCCCAAGTTTTTGTTTACCCAAAATTCGTATCATGTTAAAATTATCGCCTTTGGAACCGCAGAAGCTATTAAGACTCATATAAAATGAAAATGAAAGTCAAAAGGCATGGAACACTGCACTTTAAGAGCGTACCGAGAATAAGCTGGAAAAGCAAATTGTAAATAGTCAACATACTGTCAGTCAAGCTGCAAGAGATAGAAAAGAGAAAT